ACAAGAGTGTCCCACAAGAGTGTCCCACAAGAGTGTCCCACAAGAGTGTCCTATAAGAGTGTCCCACAAGAGTGTCCTACAAGAGTGTCCCACAAGAGTTTCCTACAAGAGTGGCCCACAAGAGTGCCCTACAAGAGTGTCCTACAGAGTGTCCTACAAGAGTGTCCTTTGGACATATTAGTTTTTCGATCGTGTTTGCATTCGGGTTCGTGGGTTCCATCTTGTTTTTTTGTCGGAAAGGGGCCTCATCAGACATCAGGCCGAAGGTGACACAGGCCTGGTCTTGAGATTTGGTGAAACAATGTCGTGAAACAGGGAGATGGCACAACTCTGCCAGGAAAGCTCTGTGGTAGCGCCTCTATCATCGTATTCTTCCGCCGAATGCTTTATTCAGCGAATTCAGAAGGAGGTGGGAAGAGACAGTTCCATTGCGTTTGAGAACTTTAATTAAGACATATTAAGACTTGAGATGATCGGAATGCTCTTCAGTTCTTGCTGGGAAATTTACCCACCAAGGCAGTAGATTTGGCGATCATGCAGATGGCACTGCACATGATCTTAGCCCATCCTACTGTACAGGACTTGTTCTTTGGAAATTCACCAGTTTTTCACTCCGCCGTTCAGGTACTGCTCTTCAAGGACTTCCAAAAGGGTCCCGCTTTTGGGTCCCAGAGCCCCCTCCACATTCGTCGGTTTGGTTTCGATGCCTCCTTTGAGTTCAGAGGGCCCGTGGGCAGCCGGCGGGAAGTCTGGCAGTCCATGCTTTAGCAGTCCATGTTTTAGCAGTGACTTTCCTGGGAGACTGGGAGACTCGGAAAAGAGTGCTCTCCAACTCGACTTCAAGCGGTGATGAATCTTCGGAGAAAGCTGCTGGTGGTTGTCTCTAGAACTGATGTAAAGCTGCTGGCGGTCGTGACCTTGGTCCTTCCCCAGGACTCGCGGTTGCTCCTTTGCGAAAGCGGCCTACGCGAGCTGGATAAGCATTCCCAGCGCGAGGCGGCGGGTGCTGGCGGGTTCAGCTGGCGAGTGGCGACTGGGGTTGGGGATAGCGAGACTTCAGCGAATTCTTTGATGGGATTATTGGAAGATACTGTATGTTTCCTCATTCTTTGGTTGAACAGATTTGCAGTTCCATGGCGTCGTTCATCAGGCGTGTGTTCTGAAAAGAATGAGCGGGCGAAGGGCCATGGGCGGTTCAGGCGAAGGGACTCATTCACGGGGCGGCGGTCCGGGTCGCCTGCTGGGTCCACGTCCGGTTCACTCAAAGTACAGGGTCCATGTCCAGGGTCGCTGCAGGTGGAACATATCAGAATCTTGAACAACAGAAGTGGAAGTGGAGGGATTTTGCCCTTCCACTCACATGATCAGACCATCACTCAAGGGCAACTATCAATGACCCTTAGGGTGGTCACACCCAAATCCTTACACCCTTGATATGCATGGAGCATTGGATGTGGGTCACCACTCCCCTTGAAGCATCTTGAAGCCATGGTAGGTTGACCTCGAACGATCTGCTTTCGTTTGGGGGGGTCTCCAGGCCCTCAGGGTTAATCGCTTCTCAGCATCGCTGAGGCCCCGCCGAGTGCAAGCTTGCAACGCTCCCAAGTGCTAGAGGCCTGGAGCTAGTTAAGCCTATCCAATGGATCGGCAGCAGGTAACAGCTGGGTTTTCCAAGCACAGCACTCAATCCAAGTAAAAAAATACGTAAGACAGTGTGTATATATATATATATCTGATATATCTTAAGTCATTCCAAGCATATACTGACTTATTAAAATCATTAGAGATGTAATAGAGATACTGTAGGTGGTACGGTAACTGGGATCTACTTTGTAGCCATAGTGGGATTGCGACTGACAAATAGTGTCACACTACGGCATGCGAGTTTGCGGGCAGGGAGGAACGACAAAGAGATGTTTCCCGCAGCCATCTATGCGAGATGCTTGACATGCTGTTTCTTTTTTTTCAGACCTGTCAACTGATTATGGAGGAAGGATGAGGAAGGTCTCACAGGGGAGTTTCATTTCCTCCAAGAGGTGGTATTCCTTCGAAAGAGTACACCGTCTTCAAGATAATTGGTTTCTGGTTGATGAGCTTTGCTGACCCAACATTCGACCTTACAAGAACCCTGTAAACCCCACCCAACTCACTCATCAAAAGGGGCTTCGCCCAAATAGTCTTCATTGAACTTCGCATTTTGTCCTCAGTCTTATAAACCATGCCCCGTGAGGCACTATATTCACTATAGCAAGAAGCTATTAGTAACAGGTGCATCGCTAGTAGTAACAAGTGCCT